GCCTGTGGCAAGAAATAAGCTTGTGTACTCAGTAGTGGGTAGGCTTTGGTCATTCTTGGTCATGCAGCTTACTAGGTGAGTTGCTAGGGGTGCTCCAGAAGATGTGACATTGGAACATCATCATAACAATCACCACAAAATGTTATATTGCCTTCTATTAATAATCTTCTCACACTTTCCCAAATTGGAGGATTTCATCCTTTTTCTTATCTGTGCATATCCATGCACATTCAGGAGGAAAATTTAGACTACTGCACATTGTCTTTTTTATTTAATAGTACTGTCTGAGGTCAGCTTTCAAAGGAAGGACAGTTGTTATTGTTATAGGAGGGCTGGATATATGTGATAAATACATGATATATTACATGTTGCTTAAGGAGAAGTACACTCCAGGATTAGGTGTTTATAAAATACTACAAAGGAATTTTAATAGTATGAATAGCTTTAAGCAAATACTTTGGAGGATAAGGTTTAATATTATATTAAGTATGGCACTATGAACCTAAGTATAGAAGCCAATTTTCAGTTTAGCAGTTTACGTGCATATTCTGATGCTGTGTTCCATTATTCATCTTATTGGCTAAAATTAAGCCAACATAATTAGTTTAAGGCTTTAGTTATAAATGAAGGAGCTGACAGATTTGGGAGATTCTTAGGACCATTTTTCATGTTAAGGAGTGAACTTCATAATTTTCTTCCACAATTCACCTTGTTGGATGGCATCTGATCTAAGACCACTACATAAAAATATTTCTTTGGGAGTTTTGCACAGAACATTCTTACCAAGTTTCACAAACATGAGTTCCTTTAGTGTATAAGAGCTCAACTGTTAAACTAATTGTACCAAAAATGCAGTGTTTATGGCAGTAAAATTATACTTGGGTTCTCAAATTTGTCTGTGTATGCTTTATTCCTGTTATAATGCACAAACATTAGTACTCCTTGAAATCTTCATTTCCTCTGTTTTCCAGGCAAGCTTTTCTTCCTAAAGTGTACATAAACAATGCCAGTGTAAAATTCATTTGATGTAAAAGGATATGTGTGATCACATTTTGTTTCCATCTGATAATGTCTAATCTGTGTTAAGATCTACCTTCTTTTCTCCCTGATTGTACAGTCTTATGCATGCACATTATACATTGGCCTTGCAAGTTAAAACTGTTAATAATTTACTTTTAAGGAATAGGAGATTGAAGGCAATGTAATTTTAAAAGATTCAGGTTACATCCTACAGACAATGGCTACTTGCTTATGCAAAAGTTGTGCATATTACATAAGGAAACACTTGCATCCAAAAGACTGTCCTAAGCTGTGCACGTTTCAGATTTGCATATGTAAAATAGATTATTCTCCTTTATGCATTCTCATAGCAGAGATTAGGAGTCTGTCCCAATAGAATCCCATCTGTACTATAATTTTAATTCTATTAATATTAATGCAACCTCTTGATGGGGAGAAAAACCAAAGCCACTTGTAATTTAGCCATAATTGTTTGGCCAGTGAGATTTCTTTTGCATTATAGTTTAGTACTTCGTTTGACACTTGTAATTTCAAATATCTTTCAAAGGCCTGGCTAAGAAATAAGTTCCACACTACATATACACATAATGTATATACTATGTGCCTGTAGTATACATACTGTATATACATGTGTATATACATGTAGGCAGACTACATATATGCATACTCACCAGCTATTCTTTTTTGGGATAGGCATTGTTTTGCTGAGACAGAAAAGGAGTAAAGAAGAAATTAAAATGTTTAACAAAAGAAAAGGAAACAATGTTTACTATACTTTTCTATACCCTTCTGTCCCTGCAAACCACCATTGTTTCTACCTCATTCATACATTGCTTTTGGTTCTTTTAAACTTCTGACCTCACTCTCTTGGATGATGTCATCAGTACCATTCAACTGTCGCTTTCTCAGACCATATATCAATGGGCTTCATATATTTATTTTGCAATTTGATCCTCATTTGTTCCCTCTGTATCACCAACTACCACAATATATTTCTTTTGTACTGATCAATGATTTTGGTATTCAGTCCACATTCATCCAGCAATTATTCTTTCCTGACCCCCATTTCTCATTGTTCACTATACATATGTTTTAAGTATCCTATTCTTATCTTTAGTAAACATTCGACCAGGGTATAGACATTGACCTACTTGAAATAGTTTTTCATATTTTGCATCTGAGAGAAAGGAGGGAATTTGTACTTATTAATCAAAGAATGCACTGTTTGGTTCACAATACATGCTTATTTATAGCTATATAAATGAGTAACCATAATGAGTGTGTAAAAGTTACATTTGAAGTTTAGCACCAAAGTCTGATATGAAATGACTTTATGACATTTGTGGTTCCCATATAAAAGAACACAATATTAGTATAGTCTTATATAGAGGAAAACCACAGCTATAGATGCATATGATAGTTTTTGAAAAAGATTTTGTTTCCATTTTAGAAATGTTCCATTTTTATTCTCCTTTTATTTTAGGAAGTGATTATTTTACAGATCAGTGTATCTATGTATGTGTATATACTTATCTTTAAGATTTTTGCATCCTTCTTAAATTTTTAAATGCTCAAAATTATATTTATTCTAATACGCACGTTTGGTACCGATTCTCAGAATATGTATATTTTTGCATGCAGCTTTCTCTGATGTACATATTTTTGTTTGTGGTTTTTAAGCCATGAATCGTATCAGAAAAATAAAAAAAGTAGAGTGTGAAAGATAATTCTATTTTAGTCTGTAGAGGTTCTGGGAATTGCAACTAGGTCAAGTTTATTTATAAAATCCAACCAAACAAAATTCCATCACTGCTTTTAAGTAGAATGGGACACTGCATGCCTCATGTATATCTTTAGGCATATTGTTTGACATTTTTGCTGAACTATTGATAAGAGTAACTACAGGTTTACTGGATTGAATATAATTTGAACTGTAGTTAAAAACTGGTAGTAATAATACTGGTAGTATAATTTGAACTGTAGTTAAAAGCAAATACTTCTATGTCCTCACAGTTACTCAGAAAGAAAAGGACAGTCCATGAGCCTAAGGGTTACTTGTGTAATTCTAAACCAGGGCTCAGCATTGGGATACATGAGGGAACTTGAAGCACCCCTGTCACCCCTTCCAAATTAGGGTTGGGGTTTTTTGTGTGCCTTCAAGTCAGTTTTTTTTTTTTTTATTCCTGGACAAGTCTCTGCAGTTTTTTTGGCAAGATATCAAAAGTGGTTTGTCATTGCCACCTTCTTCCTAGGGCTAAGAGAGAGTGACTGGCCCAAGGTCACCCAGATGGCTTTGTGCCTAAGGTGGGAGTAGAACTCATGGTCTCCTGGTTTCTAGCCTGATGCCTTAACCACTGCGCCAAAGTGGATCTGAAATTAGTTTTTAATTTACATTTTTTATACAGGCAGTCCCTGGGTTAAGAACGAGTTCCATTCCTAAGTCTGTCTTTAACTTGAATTTGTATGTAAGTCGGAACTCATACAAAAACAGGCTACATATTAAAAAAACGAGGCTTCAGTGGTTCATGAAAACATGTGGCTTCAGCGGTTTGTCGGTCTGTTGGCTTGAGGAAGGAGGATGCTGTTTGCCATTTTTAGCCTGTTCATAAGTATGAGTTGTCCATTAGTCTAAAATCTCACATGATCACTCTATCTTGTAGGATTTCAGAATTGTTACACAAAATGTGATGACCTCACATAAGCTCTTGGGAAATGTTTAACAACATTTAAAATTTTTGGCATCCATACCGTAGCACAATATTGTTTCTAGTATGAACAATCTTGTGCTATGATACCTGCTACCTGAAAAGGTTGCTGACACTTAATACAACCATACTATATAGTTATGTAACTCTCTTCAAACTTCTGTGAAGGCAAATTACATATGAAAGCTTTATTCTGGGACAAGTATTTTTCTTGGGCTGCCTCATTGTTAAAGGACAGCACAGTAGATGCCAAAGTAGATGAGAAGATTTCTGAACACACATCTCTCCTTACGGATTGTGACTTCTCCAAAGATTTTTTCTTGCCAAGCAGTTGTATAAAGTGCAGCAGGCACAAATTGGGAAATACCATTCCTGATAGAGTGGGATTGGAAATTTGTTACTGTGTGTGTGTGTGTGTGCCACTGTCTTTTTTCCACTGGTTCAATCCATTGCTTTATGTGAAATCATTTTATAGACAGTTTTCAGGATTTTGCCCATTGGAAAATGGGTTTTGTCCATTTAAGGAAAGGTCATGGGGAATTTCAATTACATTAAATCTTTTATAGCCGAGTTTCCTTGTCAAAATGTAGTTTTTGAACCAACGTACATGGGAATATAATTTGACAGTGTTTTTTTTTAAAATTTTAGCTACATACTTTTTTTAAATTTTAGCTACGTATACTTGAACTATAATTTAGGATTAAGTTATAGTTCAATCTCAGTCATAATTAAATCAGAAAAATGAGAGAAATGTTTTTATAATAAAGCACTTATATAGGATCTTGATGAATTCTATGTTATGATAAAAGCCTTTTTTTCCTGAGGAAATATATTTTAAAAAATATTTTAGGATTTGCAACTTCAGATGCTCCAAAAGCACTTCTTACTGTTAACAATACTGGTTTTTGACATCTTCATCAGAAAATCCTGTTCTTTAACTTATTCATCTGAAAATATTTTTAGCAAAAGTTGAAATTCAAGTAGCAACCTGGTAGAAACATCAGAAAACAGAAATTGGCTGACATATTTGTGTAATTCTTTTGCTTTAACAGGCCTCTAGACTTTTTTCTGCTAAGTAGCGAACCAAAACAGACAAGCAAGTATAAGGAGCATATTTAAGTGATACATATATGATTATTGGTGATCAGTTGATGAACATAATTAATCCAGAATATCTTTGTTTATTTCTCCATCCAGCATGTGGAAGATATGCCATAAACATTAACAGTAAGACTCCTGTCCTAGCCCCTTAATCTTTCTTTCTTTCCTTCTTTTGTTGCAGAACCTCGAGGATTTTTTGATCACACTTTAAGCTGCATAAGCTCAAGTGTAACAGAGAGAAGACTACAAGGTACTTGTCCACCAATTCCCCGTGGAGGTTTTGGAAAGCCCTACTTTGGTACAAATGGTTTCAACTTTCCTTTTATAAATTCTCGGACTGGTTTCCACACTATCCATTCTGAGAACAGCCCAGTAAAGCCAAGGATTGTCACAGTAGTGAAACCCTGTGGGCATGCAGTCAGGAAGATAACATTGCTTCTAAATCGGCGTTCTGTTCAAACATTTGAACAGCTGATTGCTGACATCTCAGAAGCCTTGGGATTTCCACGCTGGAAAAATGATCGTGTGAGAAAATTATATAATTTGAAGGGAAGGGAAATCAGAAGTGTTTCTGACTTCTTTAGAGAGGGTGATGCTTTCATAGCTATGGGAAAGGAACAATTAACCCTGAAAATCCTTGAAATGGCAATCCAAGAACTTTTTCCAGATAACCCTTATGCTCCTCTTAATGGGGCTTCAGAAAATTGGGAACAACCTCAGAAGTCCAAACACAGGATGTATGAAAAGGCTTCCAAGTTAGAAAAGAGCCTTGAACCCACAGTTGCTAAGAACTGCATGGATGTCATGTCTCCTAAACTAATTAACAAGCATGACATAAAAGCTCATACCAGGAACAGACAGGAAGAGAAAATGAGACCCAAAAAGAGATGGGTAAGAGACAACTGGCATGGGGAATACGATGTGAAGCCTTCTAGAAAACTTAGAGAAATTGAGAGATATTTTAATGAAGAGAGAAATCCTGAAAGCGAAGCTGAAAAAAGTTCAGATACAATTATCAGATGTGAGAAATGTGAAAGAGAAAGACAGCTGAGGCAAAAACTGCAAAAAGAAAGACAGGATGATCTTCCATTTTTGAGCAGAGACTTGAGTGGAAGAACATGTAAGAGATACAATGTTGAAAAGCCTGCAAAATTGAGAAATTGCAGGAAATTATCAGAAAACTCCGTGGAAGAAGCTGAAGTTACATGGAATGAAGCCAGTTGTCAGAGTACATGGACAACTTCACACAGTCGTGTCAGTAAAGATCTTGAGAAGCAAAAACGAAGTATTGATAGGGATCAGATCCTGCAGAACAATGATGTAGAATTAGGAAAAATGAAGACAAAGCCACTAGAAAGTCAGCACACTATAGTAGGAGATACCTATGAGCTAAAGAAGGAACACAGAAAATGTTCTAGAATGAATCAGAGCTGTTGGTTAATAAAAAGTTCGCAGATTGATGCAGAGAAGCGAACAAAAGTTCAGGGAAAGAGAGAAGATGTACAGAAATTAAAAGAAGAAAATACTGGAGAAGAGAAAGTGGGGCATGGGGAGAGTGAACAGGTTAGTCATGAAAGGGAGGAAGAACTTAAAATTAACAAAGAAGGAAATAAAACTTATAAGACCAGTGATGTACAACTGAGACATAATGTCTCTAGCAGAGCAGATGTGGAGAATTGCTATGAAATTGGCAGAACTATTGGAGATGGGAACTTTGCTGTTGTGATGGAATGTCACCATCGAAGCACCAACCAGATCTATGCAATGAAAATCATTGATAAATCGAAGCTGAAGGGAAAGGAGGATATGCTAGAAAATGAAATCTTGATAATCAAGAGTCTCTCTCACCCCAACATTGTAAGCCTGATTGAAGTATTTGAAACTGAAGCAGAAATTTACCTAATCATGGAATATATCCCTGGTGGAGACTTATTTGATGCCATCATAGAGAGTGTGAAGTTCACAGAACATGATGCCGCTCTCATGATAACTGATCTATGTGAAGCTCTTGTATATATTCACAGCAAGAACATTGTTCATAGAGATCTCAAGCCTGAAAATCTTCTGGTAAGAACTGCAAAATACATTGTGTTTTTTAATAAACTGAAATTGTTGGTATTCATTGTTTTGGTGTATATGGAAAAATGATCTAGAACATGAGTATGAAAGAATATGTAGAATGGTACAAATTGTTCCTATCCTTTTAAAGATTAATCTAGGAATTTGGACTACCTGAATTGATTAGATTGTCTGCTCAAGCTCACTGAAAAGGCTTGGGGTACTTCTTTGGGATAAGGAATTGCTGCTTTGCATTAGATGTAATTCGACTCAGCTTTTAATACACTTTGTAAAAAAGTAACAGTACAGAATATACCCCCTCTCTAAAACTGGTGAACAGATTTACAAAATTGTTCTACAAAGTAGAATGTAAAAATGAAACTTAGTTTCTCTGAGCTTGACAGTTATGTGCAGTGTGTAAACAAGCTTTTGTGTATTTGAAAAATAGAATGGATAGGTAGATGCATAGTAGAATTTTATATGGATCTGGCAATATAGTGTTGCCATCTTGTGTGGCTAGAGGTAACAGCAGAGAAAAATGCAAGCCTGTTATAATTTCTGTACAGAAGAATGCACGTACCTTTAAGGGTATTCTTTGAAGTCACTGATAGCTAGCTTTCTTTGCTCAGCAGTTCAACACATGCACATTTACATGCCTGCTTTTTTAATTAACCTTTTAGCTTCCTGTTTTTCCACATAAATGTTCAGGAGATATATCAAAGCCATGTCCCAGTTAAACCAAAAAGAAAATCAAAGACAGAGCTCTTCAACATCCATTTAAATGGTATCGTGAGGATCAATTACAGTGCTCATAAAAATGACATTTAGCTTAGTTTATCAAAACTCCTTGTATGTTTGTTACTCATAGAAATACAAAGTGTGCAGTTAATTCTTAATGTAATTTGGAAACACCTGAGACTTAGACTTATGAGCTCGCCTTATACTGATTCACCTTGTTAGTCTATAAAGCATATTACTGCATATTCTGAAACTAGCCTCCAAAGAATTCCAGGACATTTTTCTCAAGATTCTTTTCAACTGAGGTGCCATAGTGTGCCATTAAGAGGTAGCTATTGGAACAGTGTCCTCCTATTGAAGGAATTGATGTCTCTACTTTGAAAAGGCTAGAGCTATAATTTAAGAACTTCAGTATAGCAAAAGAGGTGGATTTCCATTAGAATTGCCCAGCCCTGCCCATTAAAATCTTTAAAATACTCCATGATATCATAGCAATTCAATCAATATCTGTTTGTGACAGGCAGTTACATAGGATAGGCTCTATCCCACTATCAGTTTTGTAGTGATAAAGATCCATTCTGTGCATTAATTTTCAGCTGATGGTTAAGCCTTATGCTTGTGTGCAACTTAAGCTAATCATTTCTGTCTAATCTGAATTTTGTTTTTGTTTTTCCTGCTCAGGTTCAGCGTAATCCAGATAAAACTACCACATTGAAACTGGCAGATTTTGGCCTTGCAAAGCAGGTGACAAGACCGATATTCACTGTGTGTGGAACTCCAACTTATGTTGCTCCTGAAATACTTGCTGAAAATGGTGAATATAAATTTTTAAAAATCTTTGTTTATGTCAAGTTATGCAAGCGTTTGATTAATCTTGTTGTTTTATCCTGCTTAGCTTTTATCCAGTAAGTGTTTTTACAACACTACAAATGTATGAATATAGCCTAGGTGTGTTACATTTGTGTTCTGTTATAGAGCTATGTGTTTGATCTCTTACTGTTCAGTTGTCCCTTTATGGTGGTAACTGTTGAGGAATGCTAAATTGACTCCAGGAATACATGCCTGAAAAGGCACAAAGGGGTGGTGCAGAAATGGGGATAGGGAAGGAGGGATGAATTTTAGGAATTGTTTTAAATCAGTCTTTTTTCTCTTCCTGAAAAAGTAGGGATTTGTATGCTATGCGGGTACAACTGGATTATGCGGTCTTTGTGTTTTAGTTGACAGTGTTAATTAAGGAAAAGAGCAACGCAGTGCACAGTAACAATAGCATTCTGGGCATGAAACATACTGTACTGTATACACACTTCAGCAGAGCCAGACTTTCAAGCAGTATTTTCTGAGCTCAGCAGATTGGTAGTTACTTAATGCTGTATTTTTACTGTTAAGGACAGGGATCTTGCATGAAGTTTTGCCTGGTGTGTAGCTTGCCTTGCTTTGGGTAGTCGCCACTTTGCCTTGAGTGGAGATGCCAATTGCTAGTCTGCCCCAACACATGAGTGATGGTGGGCCATCATGTTCATCACTATGTGGTAATCAGATAGCAAAAATGATTTGGGCAGAGGACAGGGGAGAGAAAACAAAAGTGATTCACAGTGCAGAAATCAGCCAATTTGCTGGTGTTGCTCAGTGATCTCACTAAGGCCACACTAGTGTAAATTGTTTGTATATTGTCACCTTTCACAGATTCTTTTTTATTCTATATGTCATGTGAAGCAATATGGTTATGGAGTAGTAGTTCCTAAACTGTGGCGATGTCTTATTGTTTATGGAAAACCAGTGGCACCTCAGGGAACTGTGGCTTTTGAAGTTCAAAGCTGGGATAAATCCAAAGGCTGGTAGTATCTTCCTTATGTTTTAGCTAAGACCTTGGTAGCTGCATCACGTGTAGGTGGGAAGTATAGGATCTGTCACCCTATTATGACTAGAAAGAAGGTTTGTGTGTGTGTGTGTGTGTGTGCCCATGTTTGAATCTGTGTGTTTGTATACACATGCATGCATGCATACATACATGTACATAGATGCTGTATGCATGATGTAAGGAGTGAGTTGGAAAACCTGAACCTATTCTGTTCTATACATAATAGCAGCTGCCTCTATATAACTTTGGCAAGAACAGGTGATAATAGTGGGCACCAACCATACTTGATTAAGTTTAGGAGGGAGTAGGACAGGATTAGAAGGATAGTGAATATACTAGAACTACATGTCACCTAAGACATAAGGAAATAATTTGTTTTATTCTAATATTTTTTCACATTTTAAAATATGAAAGCAAATGTTAAATCATTTGCCAATGTCCACAATTTTTCTTTTCTTCTCTCTTAGGCTACGGTTTAGAAGTTGATATGTGGGCTACTGGTGTAATACTCTATATTTTACTTTGTGGCTTCCCCCCCTTTCGAAGTCATGAACGCGATCAGGAGGAGTTATTTCAAATTATACAGCTCGGACATTATGAATTTCTCTCTCCATACTGGGACAACATTTCAGCTGGTAAGCTTCCTTTAGTATTTCTGGGATTGCAGCGGTGTGAAAATCAGTATTTAATATAATATTCCAGGAAACTGATTTAATTTTTAAAGTTACAGTTTTATGTCATGAGACTGGAAAGATAGGACTGAAAATGTGTAGCTACTGCTGGTAAAAAATTTAGGACCTAGAGAAAAGTACACGTAGTTGAACCTGGAGTGATGCCTATGCTGTGCTGAATATCTTCTAGACCATATATTTGAGTAGCAGAAATAGAACCAATTATATAATAAGCAAATGGTATGCTCTTTGGCATATACGCAGAATTTCATTTTTATTCACCCCTAATGCTAAACTGCAAGCTGAGTTTACCTTTATTTGTTTTAAATAGGACTTGAGGAATGTTAAAGTGGCTGCATTCACACAGAAGCTATAAATATTGTTTATAAACCTTAATGATTAAGTTAACATCTCACACTAAGTTAAAACCAAACCAAACACATAGCTTGGTGAAATATGTGGCCATAACCATTGTTTAATATTATGAATATGGACTACAGAAACACTCTGAATTGTATACTTTCCTTGCTCCTTTTTCACAAAGGATGCTGAATTTGGAGATTTTTGTGTTAAACTACAGCTTGTCATAATATTCAAATTGGGCCCAATTGCAATTCATTTTGAATATTTTTAATAGAAATAAGCCTGCTCTGTGCCATGTACCTGTGCCTGGTTTATATTCATTAATTATACTTAAGGTTAACCACAGGGGATAAGAGGACTGTATTTGTATTTGATTTTGACTTGTATTTAGGGTGTATTGTACTCCTGAAAGAGTGTATTTGAAAAGATGGACATCAGATTTTCTATGCTGGAGGTGTAAAAAATTTGAGGGCTCACTGACCCATATGATACGGACATGTGATCATTTAGTAACTTTTTGGGATAGTGTATTATATTATAATTATATTATTGTATTTATTATATATAATTAATATATAATATACACTATAATAAATATATATGTTATATTATTATTATTATTATAGTATATTAGTAGATTTATGGGAAAATCTTTAAATGTTAAATGTTGAATTATATACCAAAGCTTTGGAATTTGACTGTTTATCAGGAATTGTGGGTGTATGGAACATGGGAAGTGGCAAAGGGAATTATATTAAGAAATTGGAAAAGTGATATTATTTCAGATGTCAAGGAATGGTTGTTGGAAATGAGTGATTTATCTGTTTTGGAAAAGGCAATATTCTCTACTAATCAAAGGAAGCAGTAGAATGTGTTACTATGGCAGAGATTCTGTGATATTCTACAATAACGTCTTGTATTGTTCATATTATAGTAGCGAATTCATTGGTAAACCAGGGACTATTGATAATTTTTTTCCTTTAGTTTTCTTAGTTTGTATTTTTAGTTTCTACTTTTATTTTCTTTTTTTCTTTAAGATTAAGATTGTTTTGTTATAATGATAAAGATTATATTTTAAAAAAAATCTCTGGAAAAAGCAAAATGGTGATTTAGAAGATATTTCAAATAATGACAAGTCTAAAAACAGAAACTTTGATGTTGTTGCAGTCATGTTAATGGAGAAGCAAAGTCATGCTGTGATTTGTCTATATAATAATTCTTTTGTTTAGAATCTGAAGTATTATTGTGTAGGATGCTACCTTTTTTCAGTGCAAAGCATTGTTTTTTCCTATCCTGTGTTTCATTTTTTTTTAATGAAAGGTTTACCTTTATTAAAAGTGATAGTGTATTGAACATTTATTTCAAAACTACTTTTAACACTCTATCCTAAAACTGACAGAAGAAAGGTTTCCCAGAGTCTGCCTATAAATCTATACATCAACTGTCTATAAATGGTTGAATGTTTTCATAATTTTGGCCTTCCAATTAGTGTCCCAATATTGCCATATGTTGAATTGTTAAATTTTATTAAGTTTCTTCCAGTTGTATGAAACTATTCAAAGCATAGTTGTGTTAATTATACTTGTCTTTGGTCTTAATAGCTGCAAAAGATCTGATAAACCGACTCCTGGTAGTTGATCCTAAAAAGCGTTATACCGCTCAACAAGTTCTTCGGCATCTGTGGATCCATACAGCTGGAAAAAACAACAATAGAAATCTCCAAAGAGAAGTGACCATCAATCTGGAGCGACACTTTCGAAGTCAGCGCAAGTCAGAAGTTACCAAAGAAGACTCATAAAGGATCATATCCACTGAGGACAACTTACTTCTTCCATTCTGTACTGATACAATCTTCTTTCAGAGATAAAACGTTAGGCAAATTCATTACTTCTGTTGGGACTGAAGTCTGCTGAGCACATCTTTATGACTGACCTTCTATGATGTCATGCAGTCACATCCTGATTCTTTTTATAGATCAGTTTTTCATTTTTAAAAAGGAATTATTTTTAAATGAACAAATTAAAGCCTTGAATACCCACCTGAAATGTGGGAAAAGGCAAGACTTTTGATTCAGTTGCCATGTGTTTTGATGATTAAGACATTTTTCTTTGGCGTTCAAAGTAGAGGAAGATGGGATCATTGGTGGTGGTGAAATACATGCAGTCTTTTCCATAGATACCTAAACAGTTACTTAGTGTTAAACTACTTATTTATATGTTTCTTTCTTACACCTGTCTTTAGGAATTAGGAAAGGCACTCTTGTTACAGAAACATATTTTTAAAATAGATCTTGAAAAATGTGAGTTATATAAGAACTTGTCAAACTGCTGGTTAAATGGATAAGACTGAATGTATTTTTGAACCATTCACATAAGTTAAATTTATTTACATAAAGGCCAGGTTCCAAAGAATTATTTTAGGCATGCTTAATGTCTTGGGAATTGGACTAGCTACCTGGATTTTTTAATTAGAAATCGAGAGAATCTCTCTCTCTTTTTTTTAAAAAAAATCTTGGTTTCAAAAACATGCTGTGGCATGAGTTGCTTAAGTGATACGAATTTAAAGATCCTTTGGGGCATGTATAACTACCTTTTTTGGCACCATGCTATTGAACATATCCTTGATATTCTATATTTTGAATATTTAAAATGTTTGTATATTGGGGGTGGGAGTGATTTCTTGTATAAACTATGTATAATGCATGCCAGGGCTTTGTTTTAATTGTGTGTAGATACATACTACACTTTGGGTTCAGAATAGGGATGAATAGAACAGAACAGAACAGAGATGGGTAGTGACAAATCTGATATATAAATAAGTAAAATAAAAAATAATGAGAAAAATTAATAGGTTATTTACTTTTCCTTATCCAAAAAGAGAGAGAGAGATGGGACTAAATAAAGAAAAGAAGCCCTCTTCTTTTAGGTAAGCTGCTAGATACATCCCAGATATGTCTGTGTCTTTATGCATGTTTTGATTATGTCCAATATTATATAACCAGAATATTTTTTGTGTGTTGTGATTTTTTTCTTAGGACCTTCCTGTTTAAATTGGTACTGTGAATTGTGCATCAGACAGAGTTGCTGCTTTGATAAAACTGGTAGTAGTAAGTCTGGACCTTGGAAAAGAACTATCTGAGGTTGCAATCTGGAATAGTAAGCTGCCTTGGCTGTTAGATTTAGATCTCAGATGTGGAAGGAATTGGCAATATGAATCCTGAGATACAGCCACCTCTGTTATAAATAGTGAAGGATTGACCATTGATCCCAATTTAATCCCTAGAGCACTGGCTTATAGCTGTTCCTTGTAGGGATCCAGCTTCTGTGTTTGATTCTTGATATAGATCTGGCTATGGCTTACTGTGGCTCTGACAATACTGTGATAAGCGACGGGAAGAAACACAAAGGGATAACAGATAAAAAAATAGGGAGATTTTTTTAAAAAAAATTAATGCTCATTGTGTGTGTGTGCGCGCGCGTGTGTGTGTGTATGTATATGTGAGAGCCAGTTTGGTGTAGCGATTAAGGCACCAGGCTAGAAACCAGGAGACTGTGAGTTCTAGTCCCACTTGGCACAAAGCCAGTTGAGTGACCTTGGGCCAGTCACTTTCTCTCAGCCCTAGGAAGGAGGCAAGGGCAAACCACTTCTGAAAAACCTCACCAAGAACACTGCAGGGAATTATCCGGGCAGTCTCTTAGAATTGGACACAATTGAATGGATGAAAACAAAAACAAAAAAGTATGTGTGTGTGTGTATCCCTTTTTCCTACAATGCAAAGGCCAATTCCAGCAGAAACACTAGATGTTTGTTGTAAAGGAATATGTGGAGCAGGTGTCCAGATGTGTACATTTCTCTGTACCATAGATGTTTGTGACACAATTTACACAATATTTAAATTTTGTTCTTTGGCTCTACCCTGGTGGGGTCAGAGGAACTGAAATCTATTGCTAGACCTCAGTTGCATATTTGTAAGGTTTTTTTTCCCCTCTGTATCTTTCTTTGTTCCTTTTTTTGACAGGGTTTGAATGTAATACTGATGAGCAGAAAAAAAAATTAAAAAACTCAGGAATATCTTCCTCTTGGTCTTTGTTTTCTTTGTCAGAAAAAAAGTAATTGTATTTGTTTATGAAATGTTGGCCTTGAGAAAAGTTCATCTCCGGAACTATTAGAATTGTAGGCTAATTAAAGGACAGGTCGCCTGCAAATACTCGATCTTTATCTAGTATGGGTTTACTTCCTTGGTCCCTTACACTGATGGAATTGAAATATATTTGATATTTAATGGTATAAAGGTAATTTTCTGCAGTATTTTGGTATTTTATTGTCAGTGAATGAAAAAGTTCACACTTTTAGGGACAATCTACTCAAGTCTTCCCCAAGCTGGTGTCATTAAAATATGCAAGAGTTCAACCCCCGTAAGTACTAGCCAGCCCGAGTTTGCTATGTTAACTAGAACAATGGGAATTGCCCAACGTTTCTGGAGGGTGCTACATTGGAAAAGACTAACTGCAAATTAGTACATAACAATTCTTTATTTATGTACTTGCCTCATTCATATCTAAAATTATATATAGGAGCAATTTATCTTATTACATCAAAATGAGTACTTTTTTCCACCACTTTATTTTCTATGACCTTCTCACATGATATCAGGCATGGAGATAAATTCAAATTCTCTACAGTATATATTCCAACCAATCACATTCAAGTCTCAAGGGAATTCTTATGCTGGCTTAATAAGCATCAGTCTGTGGACAGAGCTATTTCTATTGCAAATGCTATTGTAGAAGTATCCTTTTCAAGAAGAAACTGGTATCTGAAGATTCGTCCACCAAATTAAATCCTCAAAACTAATACATTGTACATGCTTTGGATTCACCTCCAGGATTACTCTCAGAAAGCTCATTCTGAGAGCATAGATCCTCTCTATGGTTAATTTGAATGAAGTAATAATTTACCTGGGAAGCTCCTTTCTAGGACTCAGTTGAAACAATTGAAATTTAGCTGTATACTCATTTTCCTTTTTGAAATTCAAAGAGGATAATTTGTCATGGCTGTGCAATGCAAGTCCAAAATTAGAAACATTTTCTTGTGACAAGTCCAGTAAAGTACTTTTTTTTTTTTTGCTTTCTAAGGTGTCTCATTTATCATATAAAATTGAAGGTTTTTAGTGTAGTATAACTCCTCTTTGGAATTCAAGTGTAGGATCTTTTTGTCCTCTTTCTTACTGCCTTACGCTTTGCTCTTTTATGCATTCTTCTTTCCAATGGTTTCCTTTTGCCTTAACTGTTAAGACCCCCTACCCATCCTTGAGAAACAATTGTTAATACTATCTTGGTCCCAGCTTCATAAAACAAAAGTAGACAGAAAGTTTTTATGATGGAGTTTTCCCATGTGAGTTCAGCATTGAAAACTGAGATTTGCTCATGCAGGTGAGAAATGGACATTTTTCTTCCAATGTTAAAAAGAGAACAATATTGCCTAAAGCGAGTCTTTCATCCATATTCACTGAAAGGATTGCTGTAAAGTTAGCTGCTTAACTAACTTCTCAAACTGGTGATTTCACTGATTTTTACTGAACACCACTTTGGGTGTACATTCAGGCATGCCTGAAGCTTTGCCTAATAAGTTTCAAAAGGGCAGAATTGAATGAAATGATTATATATTCTCAGGGTCAGTGCATCTTCTGCACTGAGCCTGTGGTCTTCTGCAATGAGCCTGTGGTCTCTCGTCCTTTAAGACACACACATTATAGTTTCTGTTTGGTAGAGGATGGGAAGATTTTGCTTACAATAAATTATTAAGGATGTCCTTTGTATTACCTACAGCCCAGGAAGGAAACTGTAATTCTCTCTGTCTACTTAGCTCCCATCGTAGCTATACAGACAAAAGCCAAAGAAACCAGAGCTAAACCTGGCACATTGCATTCGCTTGTTTTTCTCCTTCCCTTCTGTTGGCCTGATTTGGAAATAATGTTATCCTGCCTCACAAAACTAGGAGGAGTCCCAGTTTAAAAAGATACCATGGGGGGATTTCTAATATCTTTTGCCAGTTGATTTTATTTATATAAACACATGCACACACACGCACACGCACACACACAGATATGGGTATAGGGACATAGGTACAAATGTAGATGTAGATATGGATAGGTACATATACACAGATGATATCATTGGCAGTAGGAATAAGCTATATACTACTAAAACTCTCATTGTGTTTATCTGTTTGTACCCTCAAGTCAGCCCAAATGGTGCATTATACCACAATAATTTTTGAATCAAGTTATCTAAAATCTGCTAACTTTAAGAATGTGTAAAAAATCCAGGGCCCATTACTCCTGTAGAATTGAAATTTCCATGATGTTCAGACCAGTTTTATTTGCAAAGTTGTGGCCATTGCAGTGTCCCTGAGGTCACCTGATTGTGATTTCTGATGCTCCCTGCCAGTTTCCCACAAGCAAAGTCAATGGTGAAATGGGCAGGAAGTCAGAAGTCACTCCCGCTCCCAGTGCTTTTTTGCCTGCCCGTGGTCATTCTGTTTATCTATTTAGGTAAGTAAATATTGACATTATTAAAGTCTGCCACCACAATTATTTTTCTATTTATGATATACACTCTTCTTAGATTATCACAGGACCATCCAGCATTAAGGTAAAAAAAATATGGTCAGCCTAAAATTTAATGTTCATTCTGGTCACATCAGACTGCACTACCTTCCTCTCATGGGATGACCCAATGGGTCACAGGGTGGTTTAGTATACACATAAGTAGATGGCATATTTCTATAGTCAGCTTAGTCCCAGATTGTCTGCTATCCTAAGATGATAGCTATGAAAAAGATAGTCTTTCAACATACGAAACTTCTTTATAACATGCCAGCTCATTTAGCTATTTAGGAACATGGTCTGAAATAGTAATAGCATCTACAATTGCATGCAAAGGTTTAGACACCCTTGGTCAAATTGCATGTTTCAGTTAATTTCTAAGTGAACAGAAGCTGACCCAACCTCTACACGGGACAAAGTTAAACATGGCATCTTTGTGCAAATTTGAATACATGCATACTATTTACAGGTATGTGAAATTGTTTATACATTTGACGTAAGAAAAGAGTGAATGGGGCAGGTGCAAAAGTTTGGACATCCTTTTAGTCAGTACCTTGTAGCAACTCCTTTGGCAGAAATAAAAGCTTCATTTTCTGTAGCCAGCTAAAAATTGTTTTATTCCTGCTTTTGGAAATTTTCTCACCTTTTCTTGCAGAACTCTTCTAGTCCAGAAATATTCTTAGATCTTCTTGCATGCACAACACGTTTGAGATTGCCCCACAGATTTTCATTACTCAGGTCTGGGAAATGTAAAGGCCACTCCAAAGCCTGTAAATATTAGATGGGTGATTTGGAGTTATATTTCAGATTGCTGTCTTGCTGAAATATGCAACTTCTTTTTAGTTTTAATTTCTTCAGAATGCACTGGATACATAATACCCATATGCATAATATACTGTAACTTCAGCAACGCATTCTGCAAGATCTCCCATGAGTTTCTAGCAGAGAAGATGGCAAAAGATTTATAATGAATGACTTGGATGAGGGATTATGAAATATGATTATAAGATTTATAGATGACACAAAGATATTGGGATAACAAAAGGGAGGACAGTGTCAAAATTTAGGAGGTTCTTGACAAGCTGGAACAATGCAAATGCAAAATCCTACATTTGGGTAGAAAAAAATGAAAGGAATTTATAGGCTGTGAGAGACCATAGTGGGTAGAAGTATACAGGTATGTGAAAAGGATGTAGGTATCCTGATCAATTACAAGCTGAACATGAACCAATAGTGTGATGCAGATGCCAAAACAGATGTAACCTTCATCGACAGTGTATTGCCAAGATTAAAAAGAGTCTTAATCCCACTCTATTTTGCATTGATCAGACCACACAGAGAATACTGCATTCAGCTAGAGGCGTCCATTTTAGGAAGGACATTGACAAATGAGAGCACATCCAGAGAACAACCACCAAGTTAATAAGAGGTTTGGAAGGAAAAAAAAACTTACGAGGAATTATGGTGGGAGGCAAGTATGTTTAGCCTGGAGAAAACTGCAGGGAGAAATAGCTGTCTTCAAGTATCTGAAGAGGTCTTGATGTTGAAGATGGGGACGCATTGTTCAGAGCTATTTCAGAAGACAGAACAAAAAAAATAGTGAGTTTGAATTATAAGGAAATAAATTTCTATTGCCCATCAGGAAAAAAATTCCTTATAGTAAGAGGTGTTCAACAGTGAAGCAGGCTGCCTCAGGAGGTGGTTGGTAGTAGACATTTCTATGGGTGTTTAAAGAGATGCTGGATAGCCATCTTCCAGGGATGCTGTAGTAGTGAGTTCCTGCACTGGGCAGAGAGTTGGACTAGATCTTCTCCAAGATCCCTTCCAGCCCTTATATTCTATGATTCTAACCCAGTGTTTCTCAACCTTGGCCACTTG